AAACAATGAAGTTTCTCTGTCATCGGTCAGGCTGCTTTAATTCTGAAAGCAAAGGAAAACGGCACTTAAAAATGAAAGGCAGTATAAAAATTGGTGGATTTTGCTCAGCAGTCTTACGGTTGTGGTTGATTTGGCAGAAAAAGTTGAAGTCAATTTTATAAAAACACACATTGGACATCAAACTGATATTGGACAGTTATTTCCAAGTCTATATGAACGTCAGTTTATTGCTGATATTTGATTGTGGTAATTATTTTTATTATACAACAACATAACAAATAACAACAACTATGATCTATAATCTTTAATCTTAATAAGTGACAAGCAGACAAACCCTCCCTCACTTGTTGCCAACTCACAATAAGATAGTATTTATAATATGTGAAATAATAAAACTGTGTATTTAAAACAACTAAACATTACTTCTTGTTTGAGTGAATAATCCGAGAACGTTTCGTGATATGAGAAATGAGAACTGTTCTGTTACATTCAAATATGTACATAATTTAAATGACGCGCAACACACATACTCAAGTGCGATTGGATTGGTCAGGATTATCCTGACCTGCCAACGGCTAGACGCTAGTGGTAGGTCGGTTGGTCATTCTGTTCATGATGAGACTTGTCGAGTATTATTCTGCTGAGTGGTTGTTTTGACGTGGTCTTGACCAATATTTTATCAGTAGAGATTTGATTGTTAGTAAGACAAGTAAGTTGATTGTGCTCGTGTGATTTTTAGAGTTAGATACTAGTAAAAACAATTATTATTTCTTAAAATAAAATGGGAAGTTACGGTAAAATGATGGTTGGTATGATTTTGGAAAGCTATGAACGTTCAGGTAAAATATAATTTTCATATTATATGTTATGTGGGTGTATTGGACTTATGGGCGTATATTTTGTATTGATAAGTCTGATATTCCTTTCTAAGGTCGGCTAGTAATGAAGCAGTAGATACCGCAAAAGACGCATAAGTATAGAGTTAAGCTTTTTAAGCTTTGCAGTGACGATGGCTACACGTGGAATATAAGAATTTGTGCAAGTAAGAAGAAAAATGAAGATAACGCTTCTATACTAACAAATGTAGTGATTAACCTATCAGAACGCCCTTTGAATTCAGGACGTACGATAGTAGCTAATAACTACTCTACAAGCCTACAGTTAGTTATCATTTTACTTGACAACGAAACTCACTATATTGGGACGCTAAGAGCAAATCGTCGTGGAAACCCAAAAGAAGTAATAAACAAAAAATTGAAAAAAAGGGAAACGTTTGGGTTGGAAAATGAGAGAGGCGTCTGCGTTTTGAAGTGAAAGTATAAAAGGGATGTGGTGTTACTATATATTAAACACCAGTCAGACCAAATGGCAAGATATAATTTACCTCTACGAAAGTCACTGAAATGGCACAGAAAGCTCGCTGTGGAATTTCTTCTTGGTACATCACTCGTAAATTCTCACATTATTTTCATAGCCGATAAAAATATGAAATTAACTGAATTTAGAGAGCATATAATCAAATTGCTTTTAAATTATGAGGACAACATTGAGTCACAGAATGATTCCGAAAGGGAACAACAACAAATACGAACTACAAGCAGATCGATGCAAACTCATACTTTGGTAAAAATAGAAGACCATATGATAAAATGAAGAAATACTGTAAGGGTTGTTATAAAGATAAGATTCGGAGAAACGTAACAAAAAATCGGGTTAAAAAAAGAATCAAAATGCTCAAAAATGTCCAAACTAAAGGCCATAAAACTGTTTCTTCACACTATGAAAATATAGAAGAACGAAATTATTCGATTCATTTAAGAATGAAGGAATACCCTAGGAATAAACAGACCTTTTTCTTTAGGTACCGTGTTCAGACGTTGACCATTATCATGTTTACAATTTTCTGAAACTATTCTCTATCGACTACTGCACAAAATAATTCTTTTACTGTGGTGCCACACCATTTTCTAATATTACGCAGCCATGAAAGCTTCTTTTGACCAATCCATCTTTTCTTTTACTTTTCCCTGTATTATAAGGCGAAGTAAATGATATTTGGGCAGCCATGCATATAATATTACGCAGCCATGAAAGCTTCTTTTGACCAATCCATCTTTTCTTTTACTTTTCCCTGTATTATAAGGCGAAGTAAATGATATTTGGGGCCTCTAATTATATGACCGAAGTATTGTTTTTCTTTCCTTTATAATGTTTGTGAGCAAGCGTTCTGAATTCATTATTTTGAGAATATCTTCATTGGAAGTGTGCGAAACCCATACTATTTTTAGGATCCGTTGATAGCACCACAATTTGAATGCTTTTAATTTGTTTAGCATTGTGGTTTTTAATGTCCATGTCTTACAATCATATAACAGGAGAGACCACGCATAAAATTTCAGGCTCTTGTTGCGAATATGCAACAGGTTTCTATTACATAAAACTGGCTTACAGCTTATAAAAGCCTTACATGATATTTCGATTTTGGTTATTATCTCTTCATCAGAGTCATAATTTACATTTAAACAGCTGCCGAGGTATTTAAAATGGTTTACGTGTTCTCCTCTACATTAAGCGAGAGCAAACCTGGATACATATTAATCTTTCCAATCGCCAACCACTTTGTCTCTAAAATGTTAATTTTAAGGCCTTTTCGATGACTTGTTTGATTGACATTTATTAATGTCTAGACTTCTTGTAAATTGTCTACAAGAACGGCTGTATCGTCAGCGTTTCTGTTGTTGTTGATAACTTCTTCGCCTAGTATTACTCCCTCTTGTCGGTCTTCCGAAGCCTCCCTATAGATTTATCAAGAGTATAGAGTAAAAAGACTGGGTGACAAAACACTACAGTATCGTACACCACTTTTGGGGGGTAGTTTTTCAGTACGACTATCTCCAATTTGAATAAAGGCTACTTGATAGTCAACTAGTGGTCAAGTACTGCTACCCACAGGCAATCGATAAGTGTATCGTATCGTACTCGGTCTAATCCTCTCTCGAAGTCGATGAAACAACCATGAGTGATTTAATATTTCACTTTTTGTTTTGCCACATGTATAGATTTAATAGTAGAGTAGTCGTCTCAAGTAATGTTAGGGGCTCTTGCGTGACTGAAAACCAAAACACCAGAACTAGGCAGAAGGTTACTTCAACATTACTTTTTTTACTAATAAAAATAAAACAATTACTTTGAATGGTGAAACTATTGTCACAACTAATAGTTTTAGTACCTACGATCGGTATTACCGATATCTCATTAAATCTCCAAATAGATGGAGATGCATCTAGTAGAACTAGAACGAAATTGTGATGTGATAGAGAGGTTCCAACGAAACTAAAAGACAAATTATATAAAACTATCGGCTAAACAATATGCAAACCACCATGAAAGACATGAATTATTTAAAAAAAGAACTTAAATATTTGGACCGAGCATTCAAGCCACAACTTCAAGAGATTCAAGACTAGAATGGGGAAGTTAGAACTAAGACCTGAAAAAATTACTGCTTAGAATTATACAGACACTTCAAAAGATTCATCAGTCCCAAAATACAAGAAACATGCAATCAGAGAGGCAGAACCAAATTATTTGTAGAATGGAGAAGTAGAGAAGGTTCTCAACCAACTAAAAAAAAATAAGGGATGGATGGCATAGCATCTGAGACTCTAAAAGTAATTAGCGAAATTAGCGTAGATGTAATACCAGATATGTGTAACATGATACCTAGGATCTAACTAAGCATAACTAGCTACAAAAGAGAACCACTATCCATATGCAGCAATTACAGTACCATCGCCCTTATTCGTCATTTAAGCAAAATCCTGCTATACCTAATCAATAAATAGTAAATAACCTTCTATTTTCACAGATAGCCGAAGAAAAATGCGGATTCATACCAGGAAAAGGAACGCGGGAGCAGATACTGAACACCAGACAGACAATAGAAAAAGCGCGGGACACAACGTACTAATACTTCTCTGTTTCGTAGATTACACAAAAGTTTTTGATTCAATAAAATGGTATTCCCTTTGGATTGTAATAGAGAATATGGGAGTACCTAACCAGCTAGTTAACCCAATATGAAATCTGTATGATAAAAACTCAGTCAAAATTAAAATACATGGAATATATTCAGAAGCGTTCAAAACAAAGAAAAAAACAATACAGAATTCTACGTCTGTCGTGGACAGAATATAGAAGCAACCTATCAATTATAAAGAGATTCATATACAATATCTTAAATAAAGGAAAATAAAGGCTATTAAAAAAAGTAAACCAAACATACCTAGATTACTTTGGCCATATAGCTAGAACGGTGATCACAGAACTATTGGTAGTACAATGAAAGGTAGAAGGCCTCAGATCAAGAAGAAGATCTCCAACACAATGGGTAGACTAAATGAAGACTCTCGTGAGAAAATCCTTACATGAAGCCATACATCTGGCATAGGACCATATAGAATAAAGAAAGCAAGCTAACAATATTAAGAGTGCCACCACGCCCTGACAAGGGCTCAAGAAATGAGAAGGAGGATCGGTTAAAAAACTAATGTAATTTTATTTTCACTATTTCTATATGGTTAAAAATATAATTATCAACAAAACACTTTTGCTGTCATGATGATTAGAGATTCTTACGTAAAACATGATGTCACGTAATCAAATCCACTGTCCACAAATATACTATTTCAACTAACTTTAAAAATACTAAAAATATTATGACCTAAAATTTTGTATCTTGTAACCTATTGTAATAACAAGTTCAATAGTTAATAATAAATCATCTAACAAATCTTATATCATGTAAAACAAACATTAGTTTGTTTAGATTTGATCACAACAAAAATAATATAATTTTTTTAATTAAAAAATCATGTTTAAAAATATTTCTTAATCTGGATTTAAAAAAAAATCTCCATATTTTTTTACCAGGAGCTGTTATTAAATATATTTCTGCTAATAAATATATTTCTTGTAATTAAAATAATGAAATTACTTACCACATTTGAAAGCTCTACATAATTCCATGTTTCTGAATACCTGAAATAAAAAAAATGTTTAAATATAATGAAAAATTACAAAATGTTTCTAATCAACTACATTTATTATTCTAGGATTTACATTAACCACATAAATATACCACATAAACACATATTAACGCATAACATATGTTCAAATTTTTTCTCAAATGAAAATGCAGTTCCAAAATATTGTACTGTCAAAAAATGTGCATTATCATTATTGGTTGGCCCATATAGCTATATATTTCAATAGCTATCATCATAGCTATAGAGACGGAAGTTTACTTAATATACATTTATATCATGTTCTCAGGTTGCGTAGCCATGATGTTTTACGTAATCTTTCTCTGAATAATCAGTTGGAGCAAGGCATAGCTCTTTTCAGGTATAATATGTCGAAGTCCAAGTATTTTCTTGTTGTTATTGTATTAAAAATTTCCATTTGTCTATTCATTTGTCTAAGAACTTCTTTGTTTGTGGCGTGTTCTGTCCACGACATTTTCATTATTCTTCTATACATCCACAACTCAAATGGTTCCAGTTTTATCATTGATGTTGCATTCAAGGAATAAGCTTCTATTACAACTAGCAACTGACCATAGAAATTTACTATTGTCCAATAGGTACATTATTATTTGACCTGTATATTTTTTGAACACTATTGTGCATCTTACTAACCTGAAACATGCTCTAAACATTATAAGTTCCAATCATAGTGTTAACAGTCTTATATTCTCTTCTTTGTTATTGTGACAAGTAATTCGCTTATGAACGACCTAAGAAGCATTGTCTTTTCCTGAGCTGGCTTTTCAGGACTATGATCAGTAATGTCGTTGTTGGTTTGTATCGTCATGATGATTGTACTAGGGACATCCACCTGTATTTCTAATGATCAAAAATAAGCCTCATCTTCTGCAACTAACCGTCCCAATACAAATAAGCTCCAAAAATCAAATCATAAAAGAGTCTAAACAAGATATCACGCTGTCACCTTCCACTTGAAGGATCTTATCTTGTTCTAAATGTGCTCTAAATCTTCTAGAGATGTTGGAGACCACATTGACCCATGTTTTTTTATTGACAGCAACTCGAAATAGATCAGTTGACGTTAGACCAGTCCAATTCCTAAGATTATCTAGCCAGGATATACGTCTACGTCCAGGGCCTCTCTTACCCTCAACCTTGCCGTGTAGAATCAACTGTAGAAATCGGTATTTATTATTACGCATGATGTGGCCGAAGTAAGCCAATTTTCTGTTCTTTACAGTGTTCTCTGGAGAATCCTATAACGGCATCTTCGGTAAGGCTCCAGCTTTCTACTCCAAAACAACAAACAAGTCTCGAAAAACGGGGGAACGGACGAAACCATTCGTTTACTTTAAATTCACAACTATAGGCGTCTATAAAGATGCCCGCAATGTATCCGAAACGTCTACGAACGTTTTCTTCTGAAAGAAAAATAACTTTTATATATTGGATTACCAGAAAATATATGAAATATGTACGTATTTATTTTGTTATTCGTCATGTTAAATTTTTTTTAGCCGTAATTAGTTAAGAGAATACTGTATGTGTATCGTATAATGACGTAGATATGAAGAACGCTGAAATAGAGTATATTACCTATTAATATAGGCGATCTTATGACCTTTTTAACCCGTAAACAATTGATCGCATTGTTATGTAAAATAATCACAACACCCGCATTCCCTTTCGATTAAAGTTTTAATCACATTTCAGTCCATATACGCCATTTATTCTATACATAGTTTCGATTTGTTACCCAATTTTCCTAACAATACATTCTAAAGAACGTCTAACGAGAACATAATCACCTCTCACTTCTCAATACAGAATAATTGGTATCTAAAAAGTGATCCGTTAAAAATTGGAGGTACAAAAACTTTCGGACAATTAGAGACAGTTATTGTTTATTACTTTTTCTCTTACAATCACTAAATTATAGGTTAAAAGAGCATCAAATTGATTCTAAATATTTTCTACAGTCTATGTTATGTCATTCATTATGAACGTAGACTAATAATTGACACGCAGCACGAATGTTTCAATGTGCAGATTTCAGTGTATACATTTTGAATAAGAGATATTTTTTCTTCTCATAATAACCAACGATTGTGTGATATCTCAACCGAATTGGTGCTGGTTTTGGAATGTAAATAAAACTTATGTATTATCTTTAACACGTTAACTGCCGATCTATTAATTTAGGATATATTCAAATTGCTTATTGGTTATTTATTACCAGAATGTAATCGTAAATAAAAGGAAAAAAAAATAAAATTTAAAAATTTTATAAGACTGAAGAAAAGGAAACAACAAAATACCAAAGACGATCTAGACCTTCTCACAAAATTGATTTGAATATAAAACTACAATACCATGTGTAAAAGATTAATCAGACAAATAAAACGGTAGAAACTAAATACAACATCACAATAACATTTAAAACAACGAACAACTAAGATCTTTACTTTCCAAAATCAAAGCCAATAACACACAGGAGAAATCGGAGAACTGCATTTACAAAATAACTTGTGAAGAATGCAATAATACAATTTTTATTTGGAAGAAACCTCAAGACCGGTAAGTGTTAAGATAAATGAGCATCAATCATACCAATAGAGACTTCGACAAGAGATGTAAAGATGACTGAGATAATAAGCACAGAGTACAATGAAAAGATACATCAATATTCATGAAAGGAACAGATAGCAAAAAGAGGAAAATAAAAGAAGCAGCTTTCATCTTACTATACAAAGAAAAACATGTATTGAATTCATCAATAGAATGTAGTAGACTCTGGTTAGCAACACCAAAAAAAAAAATAAGTCAACCATAACAATATACCAAGATTAATGAGTTAATATTTATATATTAACGAATATTTATCGAAGCTTTGCACGAGACTGAAAAAGGTATTGTAATAAATGGTTACCGACAAAACAACATAAGATATGCAGATGACACCATAGTATTTGCGAACAACTTAGAATACCTACAAATTTTTATGAACAAAATCACGTATTACAGTCAACAATATGGACTCAATATAAACGTTAAGAAGACAAAGTTTATGATAATTAGCAAGAAAAGGATAAAAGAAGATCAATTTTACGTTAACCAATCTCCTGTAGAAAGAGTGACGTACTACAATTACCTTGACACCATAATAAATGAAGAATGGACCAACAACCAGGAGATTAGAGCACGCATAGGAAAAGCCAGATCCACCTTCAATCGGATGGGGGCCTTCTTTAAGAGTCACAACCTATCTCTTGATACAAAAGTAAGAATGCTGCGATGCTACGTTTTCTCTGTCCTTTTTTATAGTGTCGAATCTTGTACCTTGAATGAAAGATATGTGCAAAAAACTGAAAGAATTTGAGATATGGTTATATAGGAGAATACTTAAGATCCCGTGGACTGACCGAGTCACAAATAAGGAGGTCCTCAGAAGAATGAATAAGAACCGAGAGGTACTGACTACCATTAAATCTCGAAAGTTACAATTCTTCGGACATATTATGCGAAACGAATCTAGATATGCTCTCCTTCAAGCCATCCTGCAAAAAAAATATTTGGAAAGCAAGGTCCAGGAAGAAGAAGAACATCTTGGTTAAAAAACCTCAGAATCTGGTTTAATATAACATCTGTGCAGCTTTTCCGCGATGCTGCAGATAAGATAAAGATTGCCATGATGGTCGCCAACATTCGTAACGGATAGGCACATCAAGAAAAAGAATAAGTTAATTGAAGGTCAGAGACACATCATCTTTATTTGACAAAATAAGCATATTTAGGCCAACTTCACACATGCGATCTAACGTTGGAGCTAACGTTGGGTCACCTGTGCTCCCACGTTCAGTGCAGCATCCACACATTGGGTTGAGTATTGGGGCGATATCAGTCTGATTCCTCTAGAGCCAACGTCAACATGTCTGACATGGAAATTGCAGCGGCTGCGACTGTCGTGATAATGAGTGCATATGATTATATTTTGATATAAAAAGGCGAATTTTACGTCATTTTATCCACAGCGCAACGTAAAACTACTAGATCTTTAGAGAAGCCGTATTTGGTAACTTCAGATTGAATATATGCATCAAACATGACTTTTTTCCACAGCCGATATATATTTTTAATCGCAAAAACCAACAGTAAACGGAAAACTCACAACATTGGAGCAAGTCATAAAAACGTTGACACCAACATTGGCCCCAACACAGTTTTGTCGGTACACACATTGGACGAACGCCGCTGCTTGGGCCAACGTTGTCCCCCATGTGTGAAGCCAGCGTTATTTTAAATCATAGTTTAAATCTAATAATTTTAAAATTTAAAAATATTTAAAAACAATTTCCACGTTGAAAATCGAAACCTGCAAACAAATTTAAAATATAATTTTCATTATATTATATGTCAGAATCAAATGTGGTTTATTCACATATAAAATAATATTATAGGAACATATAACTTGAAGTTTTAAAATGACTCTAAAAAATTTAAACTTGTCGCTTTATTACGACATCCAAAACTGAGATAAATCCAACAATCTAGATCTTACGGGACAAAGGTGTGACTCTCTGGTCTCACTAGATAATCATCGACATGATATTTTCACAATATTCGCAAAACAATAGTCAACATATTGTGCCTGAACTGTTAACCCAACAATGACGAGTAGTATTGTTGGAAGCGTGCGCTCTATTCATGGAACTAAGAAAGAAAAAAATGATACTTAAGACTATTGCATCGAGATAAGAATCGTGAGAATAAATTAATTCGCATTTTGGGTGTCGATAACTACTTATGCATAATGGATGACATAATCGTTTTGAAAAATGGGCGAGGGAAAATGTTTATCAAGGCTGGACTATAATTTTAGTGTTAGATGAAAACAATAAACAACAGTACAAACGGGACGACTTGATTGTAGGTGGCACGGTTAGTATTTTCTGAATTATTGTGATGTAACAAAAGGAAACTGCTTAAGATAGT